CGCTTCCTCCTCCTCCTCCTCCTCCTCCTCCTCCTCCTCCGCTTCCTTCCTCCTCCTCCTTTTGCCCCACATTGGCGCTGCCACTCCAGTCTCTTCCCACGTGCTGCCCGTAACCGAAGTAGCCTCCACCCCCTGTCCTCACCAACCCCGCTCGTGCTCCGCCGCGCTACCCCAACTTTGCCGTCTCCCTGCCTTCAATGTGCAGGTTATAATGGGTCCCGCTAGCCTTGTGGGTAACCCGTTGTTTACACGGGTGTAGAATATTAGGGGTTCCAGGGCCCCCCTGGCGCGCCAGCAGGGCATCGGGCGGGTGGCGTCTCCGGTCAAATCATAATCTCTGCCAGGCTCCAGTCCGAACGACGCTCGCCGAGCGGGGCCCTGCCTCCAGCCAGCGCGCACGGCGGCCTCTCAATCGCGCTGTCACCCTAGTCTCTTCCCACACGCTGCCCGAAACCGAGGCCGCCTCCACCCCCTGTCCCCTCCAACCCCGCTCACCCGCTCGCCTTTACTTCCCACCCGCTCGCCCGCTCATCCGCCTCACCACAGCCAGCCGTCTCCCTGCCGTCTCTCTCCCCTTCCCCATGGCACGCGCTGCTCCCAGCGTGGACCCCGCGCAGCAGGGAAATCCTCGAACCCATGGCAGCGCTCGCCCCCCAAAGAATCGGGAGGTCATTGTGCGCTCCTCCACTTCATTCTGCTTATGATGAGCTTCCCCCCCCACCTTCGCAAGACATCGCCCCTGCTCGTCGGCACATCCGCTCCAACTTCTGGGGATGGCAGGGTCGTCGGGCGTTGCCGGCCCTCCGCCGTTCGGCCACGCGTTCGGGGGTAGCCTGTGACACTCTGCAGAGTCAGCTTCGCAATCAACGGGCAGGTGAATGGGTCCTGCTAGCCAGGTGGGTAACCCTTTGTTGAACGGGGTGCAAAATAATGGCGTCCAGTGGCCCACCTGGCGCGCCGGTAGGGCATCGGGCGGGTGGCGTCTCTGGTCAAAGCTGAAGCTCGGACAGGCTTCAGTCCGAGCGAAGCTCGCCGAGCGGGGCTCCTCCTTGAGCCATCGCGTACGGCGGCCTCTCAATAGCGCTGCCACCCTAGTCTCTTCCGACGTGCTGCCCGAAACCGAGGCTGCCTCCAGCCCCTGTCCCCTCCAACCCCAATCGCCCGCTCCGCCGTTGTGCCGCACCTTTTCAGCTGCATTGCCTGCTCGCCCCCTCCCCATGGTATGCACTGCTACCAGCTTAGACCCCGAACAGTGGGGAGAGGCACAGCGGAGCAGGTTGCCAGCCCCAGCCAGCTTCTGCCTTGTACCAGCGGCACACATCAGCAACCTCATTATCATATTGGGGCCGCGTTGTACACCCTGCGAAATGCTTAAGAAATCATGGGTTAAGAAATTCATAGTCTCAGAATTTGAATAAAAACTCCAAATTTCTACCAAACTTGTAAGATTCACATTGAAACATTAAGAATAATCGAGACTCTGGCCGAAAATTTTAGTTTTCTTAAACATCGCCTAAGGTGTAGGCAAGTTCAGGGGCAGAACTTTGTTGGGCTTCCGGCCGCATGCAGGGATAGTGCGGCATGCGCCACGTGCTGCCCCTAATCCAGGCAATTCCCACGTGCTGCCCCTAACCCAGGCAGCCCCAGACCCTCCTCCTCCTCCTCCTCCTCCTCCTCCTCCTCCTCCTCCTCCTCGCCCGCTCCTCCACCTCACCCCAGCTAGCCGTCTCCCTGCCTTCTCTCTCCCCTTCCCACTGGTACGCGCGCGCTTCTCCACTTCACTCTGCTTCTGCTGTGGCCTCCTCCCCCCCCCTTCGCAAGGCATCGCCCCTGCTCGTCGGCACCTCCCCCCCAACTTCGGGGAGGGCAGGGTCGTTAGGCTTTGCCGGCCCGGCTCCATTCAGCCATACGTTCGGGGGTAGCCTGTGACACTCTGCTGTTGTAGGCAAAGAGTTATAACGCCTGAGTCTGCTTCGCAGTCATTGTGCAGGTTAATGTGTCCCGCTCGCCTGGTGGGGCATCGGGCGGGTGGCGCCTCCGGTCGAACCTGAAGCTCGGCCAGGCTCCAGTCCGAGCGACGCTCGTCGATCGGGGCCCTGCCTCCAGCCAGCGCGTATGGCGGCCCCACATTGGCGGTGCTACCCCAGTTTTTTGTTCCCACGCGCTGCCCCTAACCGAGGCAACCTCCACCCCCTGTCCCCTCCAACCTCGATCACCCGCTCCGCCGCATTACCCCGTCCTCCTCCCCCCTTTGCAGCATTTCGCCCCTGATCGTTGGTACGTCCCCCGCCATCCTCGGAGGAGGGCAGGGTCGCTCAGCCGCCAGATGGCCGCTGCTGCGACCGCTGCGCGCAAATTGCCCCCTTTTGGGAAACCGCCCTGGGAACTGCTAGCCCCGGCTGGCCTCCATCTAGCAGCCCCCGCAACAGGCTGCGAGTTGGGGGCTCCCCGAGCAAGGGGTGTCCCCAATTAGCAATTCCTCGGTCTTTCCTGTTCCACCGAGTAACTGTTAATGGCGGCCCGCTCGCAAACATGGAAGAAGGGTCAGTGATCCTCCTTCTCTTTTTCCTCCTCCTCCTCCTCCCTTTTTTGTCCCTCCTCCTCCTTCTCCTCCTCTTCCTCCTCCTCCGTGGCGGCGCGCACAAGGGGGCAGGGGGGGAAGGCTTCTTAGAAGGCATCTACCGGGAAGGCCCGCGCCTTCTAAGACCCAAAGGGTCTTTTGTAATATGCTCGACTTCCAAACACAAACACAAACACAACACACACACATCCACACGCCCACGCACCCGCACCCGCACGCGCACCCACCCCCACCCCCATCATTACTTCTTATGATTAAACACCCCCACATCCCCATCTAGCCGGACAATAGCAACCGCCCCGTCCTAACTGTCAAGAAACAACAGGAACTCCATTTTTTCCTCGCCAGAGTGTCGACGAGTTGCGAAACATGTAACAGAAAGGACCGGAATGAACATCGCTCGGGTGGCCCCAAGCGGGTGGTCGCGTCCGACCCACCAAAAAACTATACAAAATCAGCGTTCTTCTCGTCAGCATTGGCTTTCTTGTCGTCGACGCTGCGAAAACTGTAGCAGGAACGGGACGCAGCGCACATCGCGCGCGGACGCCTAGCCAACCCTACGCGGGACCCCCCGTCCTACCTGTCAAAAAGCACCGCAACGTCGACGTTACGTTTGCCAACATGTTCTTTCACCTCGTCGGCGCTGCGAATCACATAGCGGGAACTGGACGCGGCGCGCATCGCGCGGGGACGCCTGCTCGTCAACATGGACTTTCTTGTCAGCGACGCTGCGACCCGGCGGGTTGAGGAGCTGGGCGGGCGGCAAGTCAGAATGCCTCAAGCAAGTGCGGTTCAAGCAAGTGCCCCAGGAGACCCCCAAGAGGTCGAACAAAGGCGTCCAGGAGGTCCTGGGGGAGCAACACAAATATTGATTTTCATTTGGCGCTTGAAGAATTGAGAGGTTAGCACCTGCTTGCGTTGACAGTGTTCCAACCTGGAAGATATATCCAAGAGGCCCGCAGGCGTAGACCAGAAAACTCCCAGGACGCCTCGCGAATTTCCGAGAGGCATCCTCATTTTCCTCCTCAGTTTCTCCTTCCCTCCCTCTCTCCCCCCCCTCCTCCTCCTCCTCCTCCTCCTCCTCCTCCTCCTCCTCCTCCTCCTCCTCCTCCTCCTCCTCCTCCTCCCTCCTCCCTCCTCCTCCTCCTCCTCCTCCTCCTCC